ATAGATTAGGCATCTCAGCAAACCCTTGTGAGCATCAAGGTGCTAGATCACAAAGGAGTATCAAAAGCCATACAGAAGCACTGTGGTGTGACAGGACATTATGAGATCAACATCAATTTCGTGAGAATTGACATGTATGTATTACTTTGGTTCATATGATTTTTGTAGCTATTGTTAGGGTGTTCTAGCATTTGAAGAAATAAATATATCACAAGACACCTACCATATAACAATAAAGTAGTCTAAGGAAAATATACTTACGATACAATTGTTGTATGCAATAAAAAAGAAATGGATAAACATAAAAAATATATACTGTCAGAGCACCAAACGCACAGGTATACTACACATTTACCTGCACTAAACTAGTGTACTGATCTCGTAACCTGAGACTACTCATGCATACATAAAAAAATAAAAAAAAATCCGGAATAAAAATGCAAAGTTGTAGAACATGACTGAAAATTATATAATTCAAAGGAATGTGAGAGAACAGTAAAATATAATGGAAACTGGAAATATGCTATGGACGATACATAGTGTAGTATATTAAAAATGTACATTGAATAAGTCTTGTCAAATACCATCTATGAATACAGGAATGTGCACATCATATATAGTTTGTAAATGATTTATTAATTCTGGTTGGCAAAAGAAATGGTCGGGAGAAACCATACATAAAACATTAATATCTCATGTTATTCTTCATGGTCATGCTCTTCATACAGTAATTACTATAGTATTGTTACGTTTCTGCTCGTTTGATAATTTCCGGTAGAAATTCTTCCTGAGAAACTTCAATGATACAAGTCCTTTCTTAAATAACACTAGTTTATTCTTTCTCATTACAACTTTGCAATACACTTAATTTCCACAGTCATTTAAACACACGCTATAATTATCAATGAACGATTCACGCACTTTACTTACTACCGCGCTTGACTCAATTGTCTGTTTATATCTTCAATATCTCTGTCCGCTATACTATTCTCTTGTTGCCGTCACTTCTTGGCCGTCTTATATATTATAAAAGCGTACATCTCGTCTCTTCGTGAATCTTCTAAAAACTCATCACGTGTTACCAGCGTCACGTGACTTCAGCTGTCGTAACACTGCCCCTTCCTTTGTCTCGAACAATAGCCGCTTAAATTAAACCAAAAGATAATTAACAATAACTTAATCAAATGTACAGAATTCATGAACACTACAAACACAAAAATTAAAATTCAACAAAGTCTCTTAATTTTACGGGACGTATCTTCTTTTATACTGGCTTTTGCTTCAGGTGAGGTTCATCTGCTCCATCAGGAATTGTCCTATCATCGGTAATGGTCACATCAGTGGTAGTAACTTCATGAAGAGCTTCACTGTTTCCCTTCTCAAAGCCGAGTAGAGTTTCTTTTTCGACAGTGGCCTTTCCAGGTGACACGTCTTCAGTGGCTTCTTTTGTTCCATTGTTCACTTTGTCCCAACTGAAATGTCCGGGACCGTGATAACACCATAGCCTGTTGGCATGCACAACCTTTGGCTTACTTCGCCGCCCACATTTTATCCGGAAAGTCACGTCTGAGAGACGATCCATTATGTCATATGGGCCTCCCTTAGAGCTGACAACTTAGGAGACTTCCCGTTGGTCTTCCTGGGATTATATAACCAACAAAGCTGGTACAAAGCTGACTTAAGTAGATTTCTTATCATAAGATAACTTCATCGAATCAGCAGACATTTTCAAGTTTAATGTACTTGATGGGGAATATTATCC